CATTCAATTGTGATGATACGATAAATATTTGACAAAAACTATTTAAATGATATAGAAGGGCTCATATATACAGGGTGTCCCAAAAATGTTGCAACACCTTGAAAGGGGTGGTTCAGGAGGTGATTTGAAACAACTTTTTCCTTAGCGAAAATGTTGTCCGAGGCTTCGTTGAGGAGATATTAACGGAAAACGTCGACCAATCAGAGCGCGCGGGTACCGATGGGGCGGTCGCGCTAACGAAGGCTACGAGCTAAGCGGCCGCGCTTGTACGCGAACATGTGTCTCAACGTGCGTCGAAGGCCATTGGCGCGGCCGCCTAGCGCGTAGCCACGCCTACCGCGGGCGGTCCACCGATATACGCGCGCTCCGATTGGTCAGTGTTTTCCGTTAATATCTCCTCAACGAAGCCTCGGACAACATTTTCGCTAAGGGAAAAGTTGTTCCAAATCACCTCCCCAACTACCCCTTTCAAGGTGTTACAACATTTTTTAAACACACTGTATTTTTTTTTTCTAACGTAATGACTTAATTTTGTAACATTGCTAACATTAGCTAACATTGAAATGATATTTTACTTGAAAAATTTAACTTAACCCCTCTAAAAATACATTTCAATACATTTCTATTCAATTCTTAATAAGTGCACTGAAAGTTACACCAAGTCCGCTCGCTTCTACAATACTATACGAGTTGTTTTGGTTTTATCGTATCCCTTTAAAAAAGTGCCTTACTGGCTGACGACAATGCGTAATTCCACTTAAACACAATTTTGTAAAATATTATTTGGAATTCCACGAAGTATCTTCGACTATTTGGCAATTATTTCAATCTGTTATAGAAAAAATGACAATATTCTATATTTGTGATTAATGCTTGGTGACGAACGTGTTAACCCTTTGCACTCGAGGGATGACTCTCAGTCACCACTAGGTTTCCTTTAGATTTAATTTCTTTGGAACTCGAAGTGTCAATAAGCAAAGGTGACCTGATTTTCGAATCTCAAATTAGAGATCTCATTTTCGAAGTAAATCTAACCTTAGCATTCGTGACAATAGAATGCTAAGAAAGCATCTCGAGTTGCTGATAGATATCAGAAAAAAGGGCCTCGAGTGCAAAGGGTTAATTATCAACAAAGCCAGAGGATATCTAAATTTCAGTGAGATTCAAACACATACTCCAGAATCTGACTTGACATGGAAATGACCCAACTCTGCGATAAACTCGAAGCTGTCGCACATGCCAAGCAGCGAGCGGTTGTCTCTCCGATTAGATTAAAGCCCGAAAGAATTCAGCGATCTTGTTGTCGACTGGCAACAGTTTACATCATAGACGATAATCAACAATCGGTGGTCAACGTGATTTCCTTTAGCCCCTAAACTTATCTCGTAAAGGGAGCATCATGGCTAGCGATGACGCAGCGAAGGTCAATTGTGGCGCGTGTCATTTCTTGGCGATGAAATCGTTAGTTTTTGTCTCGATGATGCAACCAACGAAGAGCAAATTTCTTATCTAAATAAACATTTCAAATAAAAGTTTCATTTCAGATAACGACCAAAACAGCAGCAACTACTATTTATCCATTTCTCGTAGAATGGAAATCGACGTTTGAATTGTAGAATTTTTAATATTTCTTAACAACCAAAGAGCCATTTAATAGTTTAATTGTTTTGAAAATAAATGGAAAGCTTACTGCGTAATTATTCTTTTTTTTTCGTTTATAGATGATGGATTCTTAAAGATACGTAGAGTAATTCATTTAAATGTTATCTTTCTAATACAGCGTTAAGAAATTACCTGTTCCTGTCAACTTATCAGTTGTTTTGCGATACCTTTCTTGACTGTCTCTGTTTATTGAGTTCGAGTTAGCCGTTTAAAAAAACAATATCGTGTAAATTGAAAGCAGATCAAAACATAATACTCCGATAGTTTAAGCAGTCATTTAAATTAATTTATTTCAACGTAAAATAAAGTGAACTACAAATACAAAACGAACAAATATAATGATATATTTCGTACTTATAATTTGGTTTTCGATAGATATTACTTTTCTTTCACTTGTTTATTTTTGTAATTATAAAAATGCTACACAAAAGTTATAGTGGTTTCCAATAAGTGCGAAGTATGCGAATGATATGAATACCTATTATTTTTTCTTTTAAACTCAAGGTACTATGAAACTATCTTTAATTATTTTCATTTCGCGTTTACAAGAAATTAAAAAGAAGTAAATTTGTTTTGTTATTCAGTAAACATTTTTATGTGTTATTTAACTTACTACCAATTAAAATACTTTTACATTCAGGTCTAAAAAATGGAATTATAAGAAATGGGGTTTATCAATCGTGATAGAAATGACGTATAAATAAAATACGGGTAGGTTCGGTGTTACATAAAAATTGTCAAAAAATCTTTTATTATTTTTGTTATTTTTTGTAGCGTCGCTGCATGTGCCAATAATTTTTCGACTTACCCTATGTAAAAATGTTCGTATTCTAGCTGATGTTATAAGCAGACAATTTTTTGACGTTGTCCTTGATTTTGTTGCGCATTTCGTTCTGGTCGTATCACCGCAACGACAAAGACGTCCGTGGCCTTCATTTCTCTAGGTTTTCGACGCAAATAATGTCTCTAGTGAGTTGTGTCCCTGCTCCATCCATGTACCCATTCCGTTATCTCCGTGTGGTGGTGACGGCACGCGGAGCGCAGAGGTTCCTATGTCGCGTGCCAAATATTTCTCTCGTTGGTTGCGTCAGAGAGTTTCGAGCATGTTTGCCGTACTCATGCAACGTAGTATACAACGGACATTTACCTCGATCTCGACGTGGTCGGTGATCTTTCGTCTGTACCGCTGCAGAGCCGTAATTAAAATTTTGCACTCTTGGTAAATTAAGGAGCTAAGTATATCGTTGAAAATGTTGCGTTAAATGCAAAACAAATCACACGGTCCACTAATATTTTTGTGTTAATGTAACATACGATGCTCGTATCAATCGATAATACAAGCTCTATATTGAATGGATTAATACAAAAGCTGATACTTTAATCATTCCTTTTTGTGTAAGATTAACGAACTTATAGTGTTTAAGTAAACGTAAGAAATGTGTTAAATCTACATTTTTTTGATGTTATATATTAACACGTAATAATTCGTTAAATAATAAAACAAATGTCTCGTTAAAAAATTAACGCAAATAGTTAGTAATTTTAACGTAATTGTTATGTTAATTAATTACCCATTCGAATAGTTCCACGACTAGTAGTTGCGGCACTGGTGTCATGCGAGCGGACACGTGCATGTACGCGACGCCGACGCGCGACGCTACAACTCACGAAACGCGCAATGCCGAACGCCATTCCACGCGCCACAAACGCAAGCACAATGCAGGTCGATGACATCCACCCACCTGCACGCCGGGAAACGTGCAGCATGCTTTGGCTTTGATTCGTATATCTACGGGATATATATGTACGGGATAAAATGATAGCCATCCCATAGTTCATGCTTGTCCCATTGCGGTCCTACTAAATGGAGACATGGGTGTCGTACTGGTGATAATTAAATCCCAAAGAACGAGCAGAGATACATAATATGCAAGATTGTGACAGATAAACAGGATTGAATAATTCTTTTGTGAACTTTAGATATATGTTTAGATATATGTGTTTTAATGTAATGTTTTTATGTACAAATTGTATTTTACATTACAACCATATGCTAAGCTAATCGCAACAAGAACATTCCTCGTCGGTTCTCGCCAAATAAAATGGCACGGTGTGTCGACAAAGGGAATGTTTAATAAATGGCAACAACAACATTGTGAATCAATCTTTCCGACAGAAACTCGTTCAATAGAAAATAGAATTTTCTATTGGAGTGAAGATTCTCGTCAAGTAAAATGGCATGGTATATCGACAAGGGAAATGTGTAATAAATGTCAACGACCATACCACGCATGCTACACCAGTTCTCGTCCGATCACTGAAGTTAAGATGCGTTGGGCGCGGATAGTACTTGGATGGGTGACCGCCTGGGAACACCGCGTGTTGTTGGCACTTTCCTTTTTGTCCCTTTACATTTTGAGTTCATTTTTATAGTTTTATTGCGAGCATGACCTCTAAAGTAACACCTTTCCAATTCGAGAGCCGCAATTTTCTTTTGAATGGAAGATTATGAGGGCAATAACAATTCACCATAATTACACTTTACTAAATAAGTATATGACTCGATCAGTATTATATTGATTGTAATAGAAAACGGAGTTTGCAATTGAAATGAAGGTTCTCGTCAAGTAAACTGGCATGGTATATCGACAAGGGAAATGTGTAATAAATGTCAACGACC